TTACATAATTTAAATCAGTGGAAAAATTAACTGTTTAATGCAATAATTAAATTTCTTGGTTAAATAATTTTAGTTTGTAAATGAACTTATTCTGCCCTCTCATATACAAATTCCAATTCATATTCATTTATTATAAAGTAAATAATTAATGATCAAAAATATTTATTCCAAAAATGTGATTTTCAGTCTTAACTTCGAAACAATGTTGTTATTTTTCAATTCCTATATAACATTAATGTATCCTGAAAACAATGCAAGCAAATATATATATATATATATATATATATGTGTGTGTGTGTAAAATACTTAATTTAACTTGTCACAAAGGAAAAAAAATGGCAGCACTGTGAATCAATGAATCATTACTAAATCTTTTTTACGAACAGTATATATTGGAAACAAGTGGGCAAAGCCCATGAATTGATCCAGTTAAAGCAAGTAGGAGGAATAAAGAGAAGTAAAGCATAGCGAGTTAAATGGGGGAGAATGACAGAGGTTTTGCCAAAGGGGAAGTGTCCCACAAGGATTTAAGTGAAGGAAGTGAAGCAAGGGAGCAAAGAGGGCCACCCCACTGGGAGTGAAGTGAGCAAGGGGGTTAGAGGCTGCTTATCTACAAATTTTTTAAATAAATTTTTTATTCAAAAATTTATAAATTGATATATAAACATCTATTAATCCAAATTTTTTATTAAAGCCAAATAATCTACTGGATTATCAGATTATTAAAATTAGCCTTAAAATAACCAAATAATCCAGTAGACTGTTTGACTTTATAGATTGAACACATTAAAAACATTTAAAGAGAATGTTCGAAAATAAATAAATATAAGAGCAAGTGGGCAAAGTCCCCTTAATGTGTGTATATATATATAACAACATTCAAATCTATTAGTATTTAAGATCTGAAAGTTTTGAAACATGTATATTATTATTATTTTNGCGCTGATATATATATATATATATATATATATGTGTGTGTGTGTAAAATACTTAATTTAACTTGTCACAAAGGAAAAAAAATGGCAGCACTGTGAATCAATGAATCATTACTAAATCTTTTTTACGAACAGTATATATTGGAAACAAGTGGGCAAAGCCCATGAATTGATCCAGTTAAAGCAAGTAGGAGGAATAAAGAGAAGTAAAGCATAGCGAGTTAAATGGGGGAGAATGACAGAGGTTTTGCCAAAGGGGAAGTGTCCCACAAGGATTTAAGTGAAGGAAGTGAAGCAAGGGAGCAAAGAGGGCCACCCCACTGGGAGTGAAGTGAGCAAGGGGGTTAGAGGCTGCTTATCTACAAATTTTTTAAATAAATTTTTTATTCAAAAATTTATAAATTGATATATAAACATCTATTAATCCAAATTTTTTATTAAAGCCAAATAATCTACTGGATTATCAGATTATTAAAATTAGCCTTAAAATAACCAAATAATCCAGTAGACTGTTTGACTTTATAGATTGAACACATTAAAAACATTTAAAGAGAATGTTCGAAAATAAATAAATATAAGAGCAAGTGGGCAAAGTCCCCTTAATGTGTGTATATATATATAACAACATTCAAATCTATTAGTATTTAAGATCTGAAAGTTTTGAAACATGTATATTATTATTATTTTAAACTAAATGTATTAGAAAATTTGTTAAAAGAATTAATTTTCATAATAATTAAGAGACCATATAATTAAATCAAAGTTTTTAATTAATACAAATCGACATTTAATATGAATAATTTTTCATGAACTTATAATTATATAAAAAAGTTTCAAAGTTATATTAATACATGCAGTTTTGTAATTAAAATGTCAAAATAAATAAGAAATAATGATGATTCATGACAGAAAAAAATAAAATAAAAAATACTATAGAAATAACTCAAACAAATATAATTCAAACCATAGAATTGAAAATTGTGTAGATTGAGCATTTAATAAATTATTTCAATTTTATTATAAGAACAAAGTTCAGGGATCTGAAAAGACTTGATAATTCATATATATATACATATGTGCATTTGCGAACTCATTAGAAAGTTAACAAAATAGTATAATAGAAATTTTATCTTGTATTGATTCTTTCTCTCTCTCTTTATAATTTCAAAAATTGGTGTTTGTGTTTATACACAAAGACATAAACACAAACACCAATTTTTGAAATTATAGAGACAGAAACAAACAATATAAGATAAAAAAAATGCTATTATACTATTTTGTTAAATTATAACAAATTTTTTCTAATTCAAATTCACAGTTTATTATGAAAATCAATACAACTAAATTAATATTCAACTTTTAATGGCAAAGTATACCACATTTTTTGGGCATACAGGCTACAGAAAATTGCTAAAACAAAAATAAAATCTCCACATAATCCCCCACTGCATCTATGGAACAGTCATTACTCCTTGCACACAAGTTTATAATTGTTATTTAAAATGGACATATAATCTGTATCATTACATAACCCATATCCCTTTCAAGCTGCCTTTTAAACAGATAACCCATGGCTCACATGCATGAAAATATGGTAGTTAATAAATTACACACCAGTTAAGATATGTGTTTAAATATATATATACTGTATATTTAAAACAATAATTTAAAAAGTTAATGTGTTATTTTATTCATATTTATTATTTTTATTAACTCTGTTTCATTTCAGTTTATTTAAACTTTCTAATTAAATTTTGTAAATTTTTTTATGACATAAAAATAATATCAAAACATGAATTATTTTTACATCATCATTGTGTTTTGAAGAATTTTTTCCATTTAGGCAAATTTCCATTTTATTTAGGTTCTGTTTTAGACAGGTTTTACCATAAGTCTTGATAAATTATTTTAATTGAATTATTGTAATAAATTTTTTTTTTCATAGTATAAATTTTTAATCTATGCTTTTTAAATATATTTTAATAAAGTCGTTAAGATTTTGGGAAATTATTAACAGAAAATATCTCTAGTATTTTATAAAATTAAATAATTATTACAAAAGCTTTCAATATATTCTATACTTTTTAACAATTATACACATTGATATATTGAAAATATGTAATTGGCTATTGAAACAAAATTTTTCAATACTCCAAAGAAAAATTACCAAAAATTAAAAGATTACTCCAAACATTAGAAAATTTTGAAAAATTTTATCGCGATCTTTCGAATCAATAATATATGCTGACAATAAACTTTTTAACAATATTCTTTAAAACATAGAATTCATCAAAAAAGTTTCAACAAATGAAAACAAAATAAATGGTACTAACTAAGAAATACATATATCTGAGAGGAGAAACAAATATTCTGAATAGCATTTTCTAATTTAAACTTTTATATACAAAAAAAAAAAAAATGTTATGTTATTTGTTTTTTTAAGTTCAATCTATTATCTTAATCCCAAGCTCAGACAATGGATAACAGAAAATATTAAAACAAGAGTATACAGTATTATTACATTGCATGATATATTTTATCAAGTATTTTCAAGTCAAGGCAGAATATTTCATTTTGACATGCAATTCATTTTTTATATGCACTGCCATATATATCAATGTTTATAAAAAATATTAACTTTGGTTAAATCTGTCTGTAAAATGCACATATGTATATATGATATTATGGCATGTTTTTACATATACAAAAATAAATTAATGTTTTTTAAAATACTTCTTGATAAAATTCATTCATTAATCATATTAATGATAAAATCTGAATAATTGATAAAATAATTGATTGAGAACATTTTCATCTTTTTATATAACATGTTACATAGAATATATAATAATTTATTTATGATTGACAACAGAACAACAATACTTCATAACTAATGCATGATTAAAATTAGAATAGTTTGTTTTTAACAATAATTTCCAGAATAATAAAACATAATTTGAATATAAAATTTATATTTTATTAAACAGCCTTGACATTATGATAAAATACTATGATTAATGTCTATTAGTTATGCCAATTGTATTTACTCAAGGATTTTAAATTCTTTGCTGTTATATTAAAATATTACTTAACAATATTTTTTCTTAAATGCTATCAATTAACTTTAGAAAGAAAAATAGTTTCTTCATTTTTATATATTCTGTATTCGATTAAAATTTAAGTCAATTAGAAAAATAATATAAAATATTTACCAAATATCATTTTAAAAAATTTTGAATTGACATTTAATAATTTTGTTTTCTGAGATTTTTTTTAGTTAATTTTCAGATCCGAATATTTAAATAATTACAATTCTAATAGGGTACATTATATACTTCAAATGTAATTTTTGTTTGTAATTAATAAAGTCTATTAATATAATATTGTAAAATCATATCAAACACATTCTAAAATTTCAATTAAACATCAGAATGTTAACATTATCAAATCGTATAACTTTCCCAAAGTCTATTAAATCATTCGACTACACATTTGAATTTTTAAAATAAATTTTTGTATATTTTTAAATGGATATAAAGTATCATTTTGAAGACAAAGTCATTAATTTATTCAAAAATGTCATAAAATAATAAAAAGTCTTTTAATTTTTGTTCAATATTTCAAATAAATTTATGAAAACTAAATGTTTCTAACATTAATACGTGTGAAAAATATCATTAAAGTTTAATAGTATGCATCAAAATTATGTAAATAAATAAAACAATCAATTTTAAATCTAGTTAAAGTGTACATTCTTTTTTAAAAATATATTTTAGTTAGTTAATAATGCATAATAATTTGTCATTTCAAGAAAGTTAATCAAATATGTCTGTTTTGATTTGCATTGTAGGAACTAAAAGTAAACATAAATACTGTATTTCAAGAAAATCAATATTGTATTTTTTTTTAAATATATATTTAATTCTTTAAGTATGTATGTACACGTACGTGTAACATGTATGTGTACGTAAAATATAAATTATTCCATATTACTAAACGAAGTCGTTCCTACTATATCACGCTACTATTTACATCTATAAATACACATTTGAAATTTAAAAATACCTCTTATCTTCTGTTATTTTTCTAAGTTAACTCGGAACGTAAACGGTCGACTTCTCGGCAACCATGGTCGTGAAAAATTCTCTCGCACTCGAGATAATCGGACCTAAAATAATTTAACGCATAAATTAAGTTACGTTCGATAATAAGGTTCATTACCTAGACGAAAAAGCGAAACGCAGTAAATTAAAAATTAGATAAGATTATTTATACAAAAGATTTCAATTAATATTTTCCTAAAATTATCTTTTTATTATCAATGATTTACAAGGAGTTATAACAACTCTTTTGTTGATAGCAAATTTTGACATTTTATCAGATTATTAAATTAAGCAAACATAATTAATTTTTCTTTCTCTCAATGTAGATAAACATCAGTAAAATACGTTTGTGAAAGCTTAATAATGTTTACTTTATAAATTCTTTTCATTATTAATTGACTATTTTTAAACACGTGAAATATTGAAATAGACGAAATTTACATAGGAGAGAAATGGATGAATATTATTGATTACGAACGAATCGAGAATAATATTGATAGGTTGTGCATATAATAAGCCATGTATTATAGAAATAAATAGCTAAAAATGAAATAAAATTCAAAGTTCTTTCAAATTAGAAGCTATCAATCAGGCAAAGGGAAAATATCTTTTAATACATATGATAGAATGGATTCATACCTCCGTTTGGTTTCTACAATCGATTCGGGATTTATTTACGTGGTAATACCGGCGAGACGAGAGTTTTAAAGGCAATTCGTTATAGATGTTTGCGGATTGACGTGCCGCCACCAACAAGCCGCCATCTTGTCTTCTCCGGGAGAGTCGGTAATACGCTTGCGCGGAAACACGTACACCGGAACTTCCGTCGTTCATCGATCACCTTCAAGTGGGAGGAGCGGAGAGGAATGATTGACATCCATCCGGGCTTGAAATGCGACCCTGGATGCGCACGCCTATTGGCTGGAGCCAGTGTCTGACGTCGACAGCCGTCGTTGCAAGTCGCTCATCTTTTATGGCGAGGTAGCTTGACTGGCATTATAGTTCGACCCACCCTGAAGCCTTCTAGCTGTCGGTCAAAAGTATTCCAAACAAAATACTCAATTACTGTTGGTTTACTATAGCGGGTTGTGCTACCTACAGTTTTATGGATGGTTGTGCGCGTGTGCTGTACTAAGGCGGTTGTGGCTGGTGACACAAACGCTGGTTAGCTGTACTGGTCGGGGCGTCTGTACACGCCGCACTCTGCTCTGGTGAGGGTGGTGTCGGAGCATGGACGATCAACAAAGAATGATGCACCCAGTTTCTCAACACCCATCTGTCAGTATGGCGGGTCATGTTGTGCCTCAGCATGGCTATGGGATGCCACAGCAACCGCACGGGGTGGATCAACAGCCGACCCCCGATCAAGAACCTCGTAAACACGATATTTCTGAGATACTACAACAAATAATGAACATCACAGACCAGAGTCTGGACGAAGCACAAGCAAGGTGAGTTTCTAAAAAAGCAACCTTCAAAAAAAAAGTGTTAAGTGTGCAACAATGTGTGTGTGTGTGGTGTTGACGCAAGCTGTTTGTCGTTCCAGAAAGCACACATTGAATTGCCATCGTATGAAGCCTGCTCTCTTCAGCGTTTTATGTGAGATCAAGGAAAAAACAGGTAAGCGTTTCATTTTCCACCCTTCACATTGACGTGTATTACTAGACAAATGACTTGGCTAGCGACGTATGATTTGTGACGGAAACGTCAACTTGAGTTATGTCAGCTGGCTACGTCTTCATTGTGTTAAAGTATACGCCGCACACGTATGTTTTTTTTTCTCTCCCCCTTTTACTTATCTACTTCTCGGATATTAACACTTTATAAAGTATAGACGCTACGCGAATTTCAATTAATCGACAATAATGCAAGTAGCCCACTGTGGTGTATCAGCAGGTGTTATGACATTACTAACTAATCGTTAGTGTAATAATGCACCGTATCAAACAGTTAATCTGCTACTGTCCGAAGGAGGTGTTTAATGCCACATCTCTTAAAATCGTACGGTCTTTTTTTTTTGTATCGATTTACCCCGTTCGAGTCTGGCCTAAATGTCTTCTTAGGTTCTAGATACTAAGTTATATAACGACTATGTTTTTGCCCGGTTTGCTATGGTAACACAGCGTGATGTAGCTGAAAAGGTTGAGCGTGGAGAGAGAGGTTGAATAGATTCTTCCCGACAAAAGAAACGTAGGAAAAGGGTGGATTTGAAAAGGCCAAGAAAGTTTAACGAAATCTCTTTCGATTTAGGTCATATCACTGTAGGATATACGTTAGAAAAAAATAGGTTTAAAGTTTATTGAATTATCGAAACTGTCCCCTCCTCTTTTTATACTTCCTGTGCATCTTTTTTTTCTAATTGTTTTTATTTAAAAAAATCATCTATTAACTCTACAACATTCTTCTTTATAAATGATTTTACATTCAAAAAATTCTCTTATACGTCGACAATAAACCTTTTTAAACAGTTAAATCACCAGTAAAATTAACTTATTTTTATATACTGTACAGACCTATATACATACAAAAGTGTTCTAAAAACAATGTTATTTATACTGTAACGTCCAATTGATTTTTATATACCGATAGATTTCTATAAAAATTTATATAAATAATTTCATGTATGTAGGCCACTCTCTATGTTTTTTTTTTTTTTTTAATACTTTGAAATCCAATACTGTTATCATGTTATGTCCTCGGTCTGTGTAAGTCGGTTTGTTATAATCGATGGTATTTAAAGCATTTATATTTATTAAGTATTTATTTATTTCTCTTTAAAAAAAAAAGAAAATTATTGGCAATTATTCGCTTAGACGAAGAAAATAGCGAGAGAAACAACTGCTGCGATACTTATCGAAAAGAGGAACTTCATTGCTATGCAACCATCATCGCTAGATTATTGAAGTTGGTTTAGATTCCTTTTGTGATAGGGAGAATTGTCATTTTTTGAATTGTTTCTGTCGCCGGGGATAAAGGAATAATGGGAGAACATACGAGTGTAATTAAAAACTTTTCTGGAATTCGAAAATTATAGAAAACACTCGGTTTTTTCTTAGTTATAATACTAATTTTCACACGCTGTTTTAGTTAGCTTGGGTATAAATTCTTGTTCGAGTGTTAAAAAATTACACAAGGCCCTCACTTTCTAATATAAATTTAAAAAAAAAACAAATCTTTTCTTAAGTTAAATGACACGTTTAATAGAAGAGTAAGCTAAATTTTGTTATTTTGATTGGAAAATATTTGCTGAGTAAACATAGAAAAGATAGTTTTTTATTTTGGTTTTTTTTTAAATAATTAAATTCTTTTTTTATTACGATAATTTAAACAATTAATTTAATCTAATACGTTGTTTTCGAAATGAACTTTTTTTAAGTTTATTTATTTATTTATTTTTTTAAGTAAAGAGAGATGAAGGGAAAATACCTGCAATTTAATCAATCAGAAAAACACTTGAGGGAATCCTAGCAACATTACCTATTTACCTAAACTCCGATAAGCAAGATAAATGTGCACTAAATGCTATCTTCCATAACAAAACGAATCTAAAACACATTTCTAACAGTTTATTCCGAGGCGACGTGGGGTTTTTAGAAGGGCCTGTCAACAGGCCTGGCCTAGATAGATGCTGTGAACGACATAGTTTATTCTCATCAATGAAATGATACTCGGTGACAGTATATTCATTCGAGTGGATAATGAGATACATGTTATTAGACACCGCTCCCCACGGGCCCCGGGGGCCCGGCACCCAAGGTGAATGTGGATCCCTCCATCCGGAAAGATTGGTGATGGATACGACACCGGGGGTAAAGATCCCGTTCGCGTGGATCCACATTTTCCAAGCTGCCGAATCAAATCATGATAATCAAAGGAAAGACTTTATGGTTGTGTTCACAGCGAAACTAATGTGGACGGGTTGTTCTGACACTTTCGAGTTTCATCCCCGCTTCACGGAAAACATTTTTTTTTTATTTTTGTTTCACTTCTTCAATATATATATATATATATATATTTCTTTATTTATTTTTATAGTTTAAATCATATAATTAATGATTATTTAATGATAAAAAACGTAAAGATATAACACACGTCGACAATCGTATCCGGTAGCGTAAGTCATAATGCTAACATTCAACGAATTCTATCCCTCGGGAGAGTTTATTGTTTTATTGTAAGGAGTGTCAACATTTAGAACACACTCTCCCCCCATGATACTTTTATAGGTCTATTTGGGGTGAAATATGGTCCCTCATTGCCGCCCGCTTACATATAGATAGATGGATACATCCTGATGCCTCCATCGTTCACCACAGTTGCCAGTGTATCTTTTCCAAAAAAAAAACAAAAAAATTTATTCTGGGTTATGAATATTGTGCTCCTCTTTCGACACGACTATGAATAAAGTTTGTATTGACCGAATTTTGCATCGGATTTTTTTTTTATTTTTATTATATAATGCTTTTTTCCCCCCTTGAATCTATACGTGGACCCGTTCTAAACAGAAAAGACTCTCGAATAGATTCATAATATACATAAAATTCTTTCAAAACCAGTATCCTTAACATGACTAGAGGCTGTAGTTTAGTAAGTATTTTAAATTTAAATAATTATTTTACGCTGGAAGACTTAAATAAGAGAGAGAGAGAGGGGGGGGGGAAAAATGTTATAAAATCAATCAAATGGCAAGAGTTATTAAATATATCCCTGTGACATCTCTAAAATCAACTTGGCATATCGAACATGTGTATGTTAACAACAGCGTAACAATTATTGATTCAATTGTGACGATTGAATTCTCCCATCTTAATGGATAGGTACGACCGAGCATATCTGACAAACAGTGAAACACTAGCGAAATGATCTTGCAGTTACATGGACATATGAAGCAGTTAGTATTCAGGCCTATCTAATTTCTACATATCAGACGTGCTACATACAATTATTATTAGAACATTTACAGAAATAGAGATAGTTGTAAATTTTGTAAATGACTAAGAGCTCTTTACAATAGGTTAAACACAAGAAGTTTCAACCATATCCTCTTAAATACATTTAAAATTCTTCACAGATTTATAGTGGCTGATAAATTTAAAGTAAGGAATATTCTCTGTATAAGAAATAAGGTCATATAAATCCTTTTTAAAAAAAAAAAGAAAAAAGGAAGTAGTAAAAGAAAAATATATTAAAAAAAACAGTACAATTCCCTAGATATATTAGAAATGCCCCAAGATTGCAATTCTATATAGATTCTTTAAATTATTGAAAAGAATTGATACAATTCTTAAGATATAAGAAGGAAATTGTGAGAGATGAAGCTAGTTCTCTTGTGAAATGAGGCTATTCATACCCATGAAGAGAAGCTGTCACCATAGATATGACATTCCATCGCTCGCTTGTGTTGTAGCATGGCCAGTAACTGCTGTATGCCGAATTGAAATTCCTATAAATGAAAGCAAGAGTTTCGACAAACTTCTCTACAATAAATAATACTTTCTTTACTTGTCGCTCAAAAAAAATAATAATAATAATAAAAATAAATTTACTATAACAATAATTGGATATATTTTGGGATTAAAATCAATTTTTTTTTCTTCCCCCCCTCCTCTCTCTCTCTCTCTCTCTCTCTCTCTAACCTTATTGTCTATACGTGGATTAAGTCTTTGAGTTAAGAGTAATGGCCAATAGTTGATAGCGACGTTTAATAAAATATTTAAAATCGAAAGGTAAGAAAAATGATTCGGTAAAAGAAGCCGATTCTGTTTAATAACTCATAAATGCATCAATTTAATCTTATAGCCCATAAAAATTGAAATAAAGCAATAAATTGGTCTATATTATTAAAAATTCCAATTTGTTTGCAAATTCAATTTTTCATTTTAATAGCATTTCTTCTTATTTTTTAATACCGATTCTTTTCTTTACCATCTTTAAATATGATTTTAAAAGTATTTTTCAACTGGAAGTATTGTTTAAATAATATAAAACACGTCTTTAATTACTTTAAAAATTCTCTACGGTAGGTGTTACTTTTAAGTAAATTTTATATGTATACGTATATAGATATTTGACTAAAATTAATTCATACCGATTACATCGTGAGAAATTTCTTTTTAGAATATATAAATATATATATATATATGGGAAAAGTAAATTTTGTATATATGCAAATTCCTTTCTTGTAGGTTATGCAAGAACATTTATGAATCTATGCATGTGTGTGTGTATATATATTTATATAGTATCTTTGCTTTGATGCTATATATTTAATATGAAAAGAGCATTTAATGACAAGCAAAAAATGCACTAATTTTTAAGCTAAAAAATTGATTTTTTTACTGTTTTTTTTTAAGTTTATAATGTTATTTGTTCGTACAATAACAAAAAAAAAAAACTGTTTAATCAAGTGTTTTTATAAGTTTTTCCTCCATGAAAAGGTACTAAATATGTTGTGCGATTATCGAGATAATCACCATTTGTATTTTATTGATAATCTAAAGTGAAAACCCGAATTTTTATCATAAACAGATACGTTAACTGTGTTTGAACACGAATCCCTAAAAATATCAGTTTACAGTAACGTTATTGAAACACGCAAATGATTGATTATTTAATATTAT